AATCCTGGCACGCCCAGCGGGTGTGCACCTGACCGCAAAGGCTTCGGGCTAGGCGCTCCCAATCTAATCAGGTGTTTTGGCACGGGCCTCTCACGGGCTCGGCTCGAGGTTCCACAAGGGACTCCGAGGTGCACTGCGAACAAGTTTGGCTGCTCTAGCATGGACCACAACACAACCTGGCCTGACTGAGTTGTCAAATCAAGAGCTGCTATTGGTGTTTGTGGGTCCTTGATTTCATGGTCAACACTCAAGACCGCAAAACCTGCCTCGAGCAACGCCCTGGACAACGATGCTTTCCCCGCAAAAACTTCAACAACCAAGGGGGGGGATCCTACGGATTTCACTTGGTTTGTTACTTTCTCGGGCTCGGCCCCTTGACGGCCACCACCCGTTTGCTGCACGTCTGAATTCATGAGGACCGGGCCGGTCTTCGGCCGCGACCAGACCTGGTGTTCTGCACTTGGCCCCTTCGGGGGCTCCTGTGGGATCTCATCTGCGTCTGCCTTAAGCACACTCATCGAGCTCTCACCTGATTGCAACTGTGAAACCCCCGCCGTCAACCCCGCGGGCTGGAAAACGTCCGCCACCACGGGGTCCCCGGCCGCACCTCTATGTCAGTCCGTGTGAGTACACTGGCAATAGGGCTTCGGGCGGAAACACCGAGCCTTGTAGCACAAATGGTATCCCCTGGCACATCGCGGCTTTGGACCCTTGTAACTGCACTTGCCTGACTGGAAAGCAAAGCACAACGGTCGGTTCTGGTCGTCCTTTGCTACGCATCCATCTGGGAGGGAGTACTTGCCCTTCCCCCCGTCTTTTGTCCCCTTCTGGCCACCTTTCGGTGACACGCGCTGTTTCTTCGCAGGCGGCTGATCCCCCGTGTCAGGAGAGCCAGCCGATCTTGTCTGTGGCAGCGGCATCAAATACTGCAGCACCTCATTCGACTGGCTCAGCTTGTCGATCACACCATCCAGGGGTTTTTGACCCGCCGGAGGGGCTGACAGGGTCCCCATTGTCTGCAAGGAAGCCAGGGTAAACAATTGCTTGTCACACTCGACGATCTGATGCAGGGTCACTTTGGAGAAATTCTTTGGCTGATCTTTGCACAACTGCAGAAAAAGGTACTGTACCCATTTCTCGATGGTCTGAAACTTTACCAACCCGGCTTGGTCCATCGCTAAACTCCTCCTCAACCAGGCGGACCTCAAGCGAACTTCCGTTCCCGTGTCGACCACCAGGTCCGCAGATTTATTGTGGAGCTTCAAAACGCCAGCGCTGTCAAGCGAAATAGCTGCATCCTTCTTCACGCACTGGACCTCCTGGGCTCTGCTCGTGCAGTTGTCGGGCGATATGTAGGCCAGGATTCCCGACTCGGCCATTTCCACGAACTGGTCCACCAGCCTGTGTGAAGGCATGACCTCCGGTGAGAAAACTATACCCGCCAAGCGAGTCTCCTGCTCGTTTTGTCTAGCCACCCGCTCTGCCGTCGGGAGCCGCCTGGTCTGTTGGGCGGGGTCCGGGCCGGACTCCACCCGCTGCTTCAGATCTGACAACGCCAACGTGTGACTCTCGTAGAATAACCTTCTCATGCACGCCACCTGGATCTGTGTGGGGTCAGCTCCACCGTTGACTCTCTTGAGAAAAGCCACAAAGACTTCTTCGTCCTGCCGAGTCGGCGAGTGAGGCACTGCAAATGCCAGAGATCCAAACGTGTCGAAACCTGCGGCTTTTAGCGCTGTCAGAAAAGCTTCCTCAACTCCAACCTGACGAGCCCGCTGCTCGAAGGCAGCTTTGCTGTCCAACGTAGCGGACGCCATGGCTAGACGGGCAAACAGGTCAGATACTAATGGGTCACGTTTCCATCAACCTTCTTAGGAGGGGCCTGGCCTGTTTGTTTTTGTTTGTCTGGAAACACTGGTGATCGTCTCTGGCAACGGTTTCGCGGTGTTCCAGTGTTACACACAGCTTGATGAGGTTTACCAGCCAAGGGGGGGAAGGCAACGAAAGGGGTAAGTGATCCAAAACACTCGATCCAGCGCTGCGGTTTACGTTCCACATTCGCCCTCGAGCAAAAGATCACTTCGCCCTTCACCTTCGTCCCCCAAGGACATACCCGCCGACGATCGGAGCTCCGCTCCTTTTGCCCGGGCTGTCCCAATCTGGTAACCTGCAACTTTGCCTACACGAGAGATCTGCTGCACTGCGCACAGTGGTCCAACTCTCAAGGCTCGGGAAAATCAACTGGCACTGCATCAAAATTCCGCGATAGGAGCCTGCCGCATTTGAGGAATTTCTCACATCGGACTATGTGCGCCACGCCCGAGATCTTATGGATGACACATTGGTCCGGAACCCACTCACGATCCCGGGCCTTCGGCAGAGGCACGCGGTCATGCGGCACCTGCTCCGCATGCACCAACACTTCGGCAGAAGATGCTTGGCTGGTGTCACTGTCCGAGTCCGCGTCCGGTTGGTCCGCACGGTCCGGTCCCTGTCCTTCCAAGTCCCCTTGGCAAATCGCATCTGCACATGCGAGCACCCGGGCCACGGCTGTCCTGTCAGGTTCGAAAGCGCCACTCTCGATGGACCTGAAAAGAGCAAGAACTTTCCCGTACAAGGAGGTATAGGCTTCTCGACTATAGGTCAACATACTTTTGTCGCCCGGGCTCATGTGATGCCCCAAGAGTCTCCGCTCGTTTGGCGAAAATTTTATGTGAGTTGATCTGCCTGCCCAAGTCAACACCGTGCTTTTGCAGGAGTGCGAGCCCACACGGCTCAAACCTTCCGGGAGTGTGCCAGCAATCTCGAGGAATTCCCTGAGCCACACCGTTGCTTCTGATGAGCTCATGGGCGCCTCGATCCAAGCACACTCACGCTCGCTGTAGCTAGGTAATGCAAAAGCGCCGAATGAGAGACCTTCAGATTCTCTTGCTTGCAGCCACACATCCGACCAATCTGCAAATGTGACCCCGGTGCCCAAGGCCACATAGGGCAAAAACCTCGACTGGGAATCTGCTGTCAGAGTGGTCTTGGACTTGAGTGCCTCGGCAAACACTAGCGTTACGTCCCGGTTGGAATCCCTAGACAAGCTTCGAATCCGTTGGGAGTCCTTCCACCTGCAACACGCATGAACACAGAAAAGCAGCTGGCCTAAAATGCAAACATCGCGGGCAGAGGCCGTCATGCACAGCTCCTCCAACGCTCGCACCTGAACCAAGAGCAAGGGATCCTTCTGCTTGAGCGGTTCCTTGGTGAGGAAAGAATCTCTGGCTGCCCCCTTGCATCGACCCGAAATTGTTCGGTTCAAGTCCACATGCACGAACTCGGCCGTCCCATCAAGGAAACCTAATGCTTCAAGCGTGTGCTGCAAAGCTGATGCCCCTGCCTTTGATGACCTGAGATGGCACAGGTAAGCATACAAGTCCGCCTCACTGAACCGCAATGGCATGACACCATTTGATTTAGCCCACCAGAAGAACTTTACCAAAGAGCCAGCGCGCTTTTGCAGAGTGGACGTGGCTTTAGCCCTGAAGCAGTCATGAAAGGATTGGCTTATGACGCGTCTGTCACAATCCTCGCCTGCCAAGTTAACAAGGCTAGAACCAAGCGTAGTGGCTGGCGGGTCGTGCATGATCATGCCTCTCAACCTGTTCAAGGCAAGCCTACGGATGTCCTCGTCTGGCTGCTCAAAGCGCATTTGTTTGACTTTAGACAAGCCTCGTTGGCTCTGCTTTGCAATTGGTGGCTCACACAGCCGTCCTTGCACAATGGTCGAGTTTAGCACTTCGCTAAGTCCTCTTTTGGTAGGGCCCAAATCCAACACAGTCTCCAGGCCCGGTATATCTGCCCGGGATGCGCCAGCTGCTGAAAAGAGCAACTTACCCTCACCTTCTTCCCAAGGAAGGCGCTGCAGATTCATTCTGCTGTGCTGGCACTGGTCAGCTATCGCTTGCCGCTTCCAAACACTTTCGTTCTGCTCTGGGTCAAGAATCTCTAGTTTGCAAACCTGGCCCGCGTCCTGTAGCACTGCTCCGCCTGGAGAGGGCACCACACTTGGATCATTTCTGCACGACCCCTGAGAGGGGGCGTCTTCTACGGATGAATCCTGAACATGTTTCCATCCGCCGCCAGCCCATCTTTTTCTGAGGCCTTTCACTTCTGAAAAAGACTTGTCAAAAGGCTCTGTCCCTGTTGTAAAGCTGTCACACATTGCCCGTGTAACCCCCTGGCAAATGCAATGCAAAAAGGTCACAAGCAAGTCATGTACAACCACCACAGTCTAGCGCAAATGCCGGCTGAGACGGTTCAGCAACCGCCGTTGGACACGCTGCAACCGCAACCCACTATGATGGAAAAGCCGCTGCAAGCGACGCAACCGTTTCAGGGTCCTGATCAGGCGGACCCACCGCAACAGTGCACGATCTGATCGAGCACGAGCACGGCGCAAGCAGTTGCCCATGAGCGGTTTCCCAAAAGACTGTGGATTAAAACAGGGCACCCACCCTCACCACCCTTACAGCCGAAAGCATCGGTGATCTGCATGAGTTTCAAGGTGATCACAATCACACAACCGCTCAAGCAATCCAGTGCAGTTGCGTTTTAAAATTCAAACCGCTCTGTTATAAAAATCTCAAGTTGCCGAGCTGTTCGCTTCCCAGCTTGTTCTCAAGGCCTCGACGGCATTCCAGCGGTTTTGTATAAACTTGACGGAGGGGATTCACCAAACCGGTCAGGGTTCAACAGGTTTTGTTCCTCCCCACTGCACAAGAGAAAAGGGGTGGAAAAAAGGGGAACAAGCCGGGACAATTCATGTCCCTGTTAAGCCAGCAGGAGAGAAAGTACTGTCTGTTTGCAACAGAAATTTCCATTCAGCACCAAGAAGTCTGAAAGAAGTCTGAAAAACAAGGCGATGGGTTGGGGGATGGGGGGAACCAAAGCTGAAAAAAATACCCTGTCCGTTCCGGAGCTCCCAAAGCCCGAGGGCCCCCTGGGGCCCAGGCACGCAGCTGCTTGATCTCTCTCAGCACCTCGCCGCTGACGCCTGCACACTTGCGGGTGAAGCCGCGAGATTTGTTTGTCGTCTCTGAGAAACCTCCAAAGGGGCCAAAGGCTAGGGGTCACCTTTGTTGGGATGGCGTTAAAACTGAAACCAAATGTGTTCGTTTGTGTCGGCTCCTCGCTAGTTTGACGGGGGTCACAAAAGTGCCCAGCAAGCAGATGTCCGACATATTAAACGGACGTGTCGTGTGTTGAGCCGGTACCCTTGGAGCAGGGTGGTTGAAAGGGAAACCAGAAAACCAAACATCTGCCAGGGCTCTTCAACAGCTCTTTCCAAACAAATATGTTGGTTTGGAATTTTCGCCTACTTCACGCAGAGTGTCTCGATTTCGAGTCTGTCTTGGCTGCTTCGAGTCTTGCTGCGCTTCTATCTGTCAATGTGCTCATGGAAACCGGTGATATGTCAGGCCCAAGAACAGTCCAGAAATACTGTGGCCTCTTCCCATTTTGGTTGGGGTAAGGATAGCTCCGGCCTGGAGCCGGCCTGGAGCCGTCCTAACAAATCTGTACCATGCATCCGGACCCAAAGCACAGCCTGAGCTGAGATTTCCGTTTGGCTCCTGGCCTCCGCCCAATCGCCGAGGCCTGGGACGAACAGGGAAGCTCACACAGTGTGAGCAAAATCCATTTGAGTCAGAATCAAAACCTGGTACAAGAATGATGAACCGGCCGCAACCATTTATGGCTGGGATTGTCCCTTACTAACCTTCATCTACCCGGGTTTTGATTGTGGGTCATTTCCAGCTGACAGGTTTGTGCCACGGTTCATTCATCCCACCCGCGCATGGATTCTCTCCATCACTACAATTGCCAATGACGGCCCGCGCAAGTGAGACACGGGTACGTGCGAGGAGAGCTTGTGCATTTCCATTACATAGACAATCCAAAAGAAAAACATGGTTCGGAATGTCTGCAGTTGGAACAAACTCCAAATCCCCACTCAAACTTCCTCACTGTTGAGAACCCAGGATGAACGCGTGGCTGAGACACATGAAGAAGCACTGGGAGGGGGGGGGATTCCTTCCCTAGAGCGCCCCTAGCTTTCCATGCCCGAGGCAGCTGCGCATCGAAGCTTTTATTCGCACCTGGCAAAGCAAACCAGGCCAATGGCAAGGAGCTCACAACGCGCCGACTCAAGGCAAGCTGCGCTGGGCATGGGTTTGGCCCATTCGGGGCAAGTCCCAACCAAGAGAAGGAAAAAGCGATCCACTGAAAGTTGGCGGACAGCTGTTGTGGGAAATAGAAATCGATCCATCTTGGGCGTGAAATTCAATTTGGGATCCTTGCTGGGCATCATTTTGATTGGAAACCACGTTCCTTATTGAGATTCACAACCGCTTCGCACCCCTTTGTCAATGACTCTGCCAGCAACCACCTACCCGAATCGGCCTGGATTGCTCCATTGAACACATAGTGACCTGTGTCCCTTTGTTTTTGGGTTGTCTCGGGAGTCCACCAAGAGTCAGCACACGAAGAGGCTCAACACATCCTTGCTTTGCAGCACATCTCAACATAGCCTTGCTTCACCGCGCATCTCAACATAGCGCATCTCAACGTAGCTTTGCTGCACACTGAACTTAGCCCTTTCTCCGCAGCTCTCGTTGGGGTGCGAGTAGGCTTTCTTTTGGATATGTGCTTTTGGGAACGCAGGGTGTAGTCGTGCCCTTTTTAGCGTGGTTCAAGGGGAAATTGAAGGTAGCAACCCATTCTGAGGGTTCTTGTCACTGAGAATCTTCTTGCGCCGTGCAGCAAGGCGAGGTTGAGATGCGAAGCAAGGCTATGTTGAGAAGCACTGCGAAGCAAGGCTATGTTAAAATGCGCTGTGCAGCCAGGCTATGTTGCCAAGGCTGTGTGGCAAGACCATGTTGTTGAGACGCGCTGCCCAGCACGGCTATGCTGAGACGCGCTGCGCAACAACGCAAATGCTGCTGAGACGCGCGGCGACGCAAAGCTACGCTGAAACGCACCGTGCAGCAAGGCTATGTTGACGCGTGCCCTGCAGCAAGGCGATGCTGACACGGGGAGCAAAGCTGCACTGGTTAGGCAAAGCGGAGCTGCGCAAAGCGGAGCTGCACAGAGCAAAGTTGCGACGCAGCACATATGCGCAAAGCGGAAGCCGCGCAAACCACGAGACAAGCGCCACAGCAACCCGAGCCAGGAAAGCCGAAATCTTGCAGGGAGCTACGCTTCAACACGCACACAGAGGGTTCGTTGGCCAGCTTCACACCTGCCAGCATCCAGCACCAGCGCTCGCCGGCGCCCAGAAGATAGAAGTTGAAGGCTGCGCAGAGCTGAGAGCTGGGCTGTGCCGAGCTGGGCAAGCAGAGCATCCCGTTCTTCCAAAGAACCCTTTGCCAAATACAGAAAAAGACGCCCATGTGGGTATGAGCCACGACTGTTACCTTTTGGTGGACATCACTTCGTGTAACCCAATTTTGAGAGTACTGTGCTGCCACTCACATGCCCGGGGCCCCATTTCTCTTCAGCTGAGGTGCCCAATAAGAACCCCCGCAAAAGTAGGCCCACAAGAAATGTCTGTCCGGGTTCCACCCCCAAGTTTATTCATCCGTCATTTGGGAACCAAATTCTCTATGGAGTTGAGTCCCATTCTTTTAAACCATTGTTCTTTCCAACAACTGGATCCGGAAAGACTGGGGAAGGCACCCCTAGAAATTCGGAGGGAGGCTGATTTGAAGACCCTGACTCAGCCGGCGCCACTGCATGCCAGGGAGCTGCTCAGATCCGCTTCCGGGGACTCCTCAGTTCGATTTCCCCCGCTGGGAGCGAACAAGAAGGTCTCCCTCAAAACAAGGTCCCCTACTTTTGGAGTGGCAAGGAACCTTTGGCAGACATACAAAACATAATTTAGCCACTGCCAAGAATTTGGGAGGGTCCCCTCTAAAAAATTCAGGGCCAGCTCCCAGAAAAGCCGCTCGAAGCTCAAAAAGAAATCCTCTTGAACGATACTTTAGGTTGTGTTCTAGCAAATGAGTTCGATGGGATGCTACACATATGGTTGTCCTTTCGACCCCTTGAATATTGAAACCCTCCCAGCCTGCAGAATCATCGAGAATTGACGAAGGTCAGAAGCCTCGGCCAAGGCAATGTCTCAATCAAAACCATTTGAGTCAAAAGGGCGGATATGTGCTCCTATTCACAGCCGGGACTTGTCCGTAACTTCATCAGGTTTCAAAGCCTGGGTCTGCACAAAAATAATGAAAGCGACCCAAGTACAAATCGTTTTCCAGGGACGTGTGAAAGGAACCTTCTTAGAAACTTCCACCAAATCCATGCGTCGCCAAAGCACCAGAGAACGCGCCGGTGGACTTGCTGGTGAGCTGCGAGTCGCCTCCGGCCATTCTTCATATTTGGGTGCGCCTTTGTCTTTTTCTGAGGCTGTGCCCCCTTTGGATGGGCTTGAAAAGGAATGAAAACAAAACTGTCTGCTGAGAAAAGAACAATTCGCACACGAAGATTGCACAATGCTCGCCACGGCACTGGTTGCTCAGCAGGCACCTCTTTGGCAAGGCCCACTGGCCGTCCCCTGGCCGGCGTCTCAAGATTTCCAAGACCTGCTGAGTGACGGGCCAAAAGCTAATTTGAGCCTCAAAAATGATTAAATTTGATAATCTGACAAGGTCAACTGCTTTGTGTAAACAACGAACCTGCGTGGCACCCGCGGACTTGCCTTGGCACGAAGGTGGTCGAGCCATTGCTCTGCATGTCTTTTTCAGATTTTTGAGTTAACAGTTTAAACCTGACATGCTGCAAGCCTCTGGGGGCCATGTCACAGTCTGATTAGCAGGAAAGACAGAGGAAGCTTGACATTGCTTCGCAAACGCAGCTGAACACTTCCTACGCAAATTTGTCCGACTTTGTTGTTTGGGCCTTCTTTGCTTGTCCTGCCCGTGCAAGAGTTGGCTGCAGACAAATGCATGACTCCATGTCGCGCAGCAGAAAGAACTCGAACACCAAGAACAAGAAACCCACATCAAACGTGTGCAAAACCCAAAAAGAACTTTTGGGTCTACAAGCGCAACATACACACACACTTAAATCCCACGAGGGGCGAACATGAAGTTCAAGCAATTCAAGCAAAAAGGGCAGGGGCAGATTCGCAACAAACTGACGTGTAGTCTGAAACAGACAGCGAAACGCATCATACATAGGAGCCGATTGGCCTTTGTGAATCAACAGCACAACAAACCAAATAGATTGGCTCATTGGCAGGTACAAGATGCCGCGTCCAGCATCTCATCCACCCGATTTCCGTAGCTTCGTTGGCACGGCTTGGACATCAGGCGCCGTGCCCCCTGCTTGAACAGAAAGGTGGTCCCAGGTAAATCTGGGACTCAGCACACACACACACACACCCTCGAAGGGGGCTGTTTTCCAACCGCGTGAGGAGCACCAACCCTCCAAGTGGCCGTTGGTGGACAGAGACATTGCCACCCGACGGTGCACTCGCGGTAATGGGCGCATGGTCATCCAAGTGTAGCCGTAGGACTCAAAGAGGCAGCCATCTGTCTCCAGCTCACTATCCTCCACTGGCGATAAACAAGAGAGTGAGAAAGCAGAGCATCCTGATCCTTGTCCCATTTGGCCCACAGATGTGGAAGGTTTTCTCTCACCCATTCTGTTCGCTCATGGTCATCCGGTATGCGATAGTGCTCCACAAAGGGCTCACCGCGCGACATGGCAGAAAGTATGGAATGCGATACGCAACTGAAATGTGAAGACTGCAGGACAGACCATCACTTAGACAACGCCAGCAACACAAGACGGCTAAAGGACTAACATTAATGAATGAATGTCTGTTTACTCAAGCATACTCCATGAGTCACGTGCTACCCGCGTACTCAGAGCTCGTTGTTGGTCAACTGCTGGTAGATGGACCACGCCAAACGCACCACATTCTCCTGGTGCCAAATCTGGACGCCAGCGATTTTAAAACCAAGCTGGACGTCCATGTGTACATTGAACGTTTGAATCAATGTACAGGGCTGCACTGGGGTTGGCGCAGCTGGTGGGATAGCTGGGGGCAGAAGAGGATCTTCGTCACGATCGAGCTCAGGGTGTACTGGTGCAGCATCAGGATGAGATTCTATGTCATCGGAGGATGGCAGCGGCGACGGTGTAGGAGACCTTCCCAAGATATGAGTGATGTGTGTTGGCCCGGGTGACAGCTTGACGTGCGCGCGGTCCATGTAGAGCGGCGAACATGATCTTTGCGGGCATTACGTCGAGAACGAGATCTGGATCGGCAGGACCTGCATCTTGTTGTGTTCATGCTCGGTGCAAGCGGAGGTGGCAAAGTAAGCGGACGCTTAGGGCCTGGTAGATTGATCGATGAGTGTTACCGAGTTGTAGGCAATCTCCTCGCACAGCGCCGTAGGAATGCTGTAAAGCAGCTCGCGCGACTGCCCTCTGACCCTCTCACGCTGGCCCCCCATGAGTCGAGGCCCCCGCGCCCCTCAGACGCCTCCCGTCTTCCCACGCCTCGCACCGGCAGCCGCTCCGCACAGCCCTCCAGCGCATGTTGGTCCACAGCCGGGCCTCCCAGTAGGTAATGTCCACCCAGGGCAGGCGCTCCATGAACGGTCGGGTCTTCAGCAGCCCGGTGGCCGGATTCTTGATGACCCACATGAGCGGGTCGAAGTGCGCCATGATCTCAAGGGCTCTGAGCACCAGCGCGTCGCCCTCCTCGAGTCGTCGAGGGCGCATCGTCAGAGCTCGGCTGTGCTCCGTGCAGACCGGGCTGGCCCAGACCATGTCAAAGTGCCCTGGCGGAAACAGCTTGTAGTCCCAGCTCCGGATGTCGCACAGGATCGTGGGCTCAAATTTCGACACGATGTCCAGGGAGACGACTTCCCAGCCTGCCGCCTCGAAGGCTCTGCCGCAAAACAGCTCCAGCAGTCTCGGCATGTTTCATAATCACCACCAGCACAACGAAGCACGCACAGGCGACGGCGCGGCTCAAGCAGTTTCGCACGCTCGGACCAATCTTTTTTTAATCGGAGACAGCTCGCATACGATGCCGGGGGGGGGTGGCATGCAACTCATAGAGCGCATACCCCCCCCTGAAACCCAGGCCATCAGGCAGCACTGCTACGACAGCGTGCTGGCGGGGAAAGCGGTGAGCGAGGAGGACTACCGGCTGGCACCGCCGGCATGGGCTGGGAGACCTTCCGGGAGTCCGTTCGCTCAAGCCAACAACCCGGAGCTGGGCGACCCTCCCTGGCCTTGGTACATCCGTCCGTGGCCTCTGCGGAGAGAGGTCAGGAGAGAGCCACCTGCCTGGTGTGGCCCTGACAGTGTGATGCATTGAATTGTGCTACGTTCAGACCCTATGTCAAGTGTCGGTCTAGCGAGGTGTGACACCTTTTCATATTTGCCGTCCCCTTTGTTTTCATTCGACTTGATCCACTTGCGCCCTGCTTCACAGTGTACGTGACCACTGGCCTCGCTTGGATCTTGTCGCAATTGAATTGGAGAATACCCTGTTTTGATGATCAGGTACACCTCTGGATGTGGTGTGGAAGAGCTGTACCTCTGACCATGAAGGACAATGATATTACCATGCACTGGCTTCACCAGTACTTGATCCTCGCCCTCAGCATATGTGCCGGTATCTTGCTTGATACTCCAAGTCCTACTGGTAGAGGCTCCCGCGGCTTTGCATTGTGATTGAATGAGTATGTAGGCAGCGGGCGTGAGGATCGTGCTTGCCCACGTCCGTTTTCTTCAGAAGTGGTGGTTGGTTGTGCGTTGCTTCAGATTCACCACTTGCTGGGTTCTCAGTGGATTAGCTGTGCTGGAGGCATCTCGGTGTATGGTGGGCACCCCTATTCAGGATGTAGACGGTATTCATTGATGGTACCTTCTTATGGAGATGGTGACCTGGAGGGCGACTTTGCCTTGCTTGTGCCTTGCAGTTTTGGTTTCCCCTTCTTCTATGCTGGCGTGGTCTACTGGTGCTTTGGTGCACCAGGGATGTGACCATTGGCCTTGCTTGGGTCTTGTCACATTTGATTGATGGACCACGCACCGGCATTTTCAGCGCTTGACTCTAGCCCCCATCATATGGGCAGGCATCTTGCTGTATACTTCCGGTCCTTTTGTTGAGGTTACCATTGCCTCTCATAGTGCTGGAATGAGTGAGTTGGCCATTGGCGTGTGAATCATGAGCTTATCATTGGGAATTCTGTCCAGGAGTGGCGGTTTGGTATGCATTACTTCGGTACCACCACTTGATGGCTTCTCGGTGGATGAGCTTTGCTGATAAGGCATCATGGTGCATGGGGGAACACCCCTACTCAGTATGCTTCAGTAATTGGCTGTTCGGTACCTCTTTGTGTAGATGGTATCCCCATGCAGGCATTGACCTTCCGGGTCATGCCACCTTGTGATGACACCTCTCTGGAGTTTCATCTCTTGATGGATGTCAGGTATAATTCTGTGGGAATACTGTGGCAAGCACTAGGATCTTGCGATACAGTTGGGTCAAGATTTCAGGTTTCCTCCGCACCTGCAAAGTCGGGTGTTGGCATCAGACTTGTTCGACTGGACAAATGGGCCGCTTGCTTCCTGGGGGTGAGGTTCTCGGTCCTTTGGGGTGGTGGCCCCCTTTTCTTTGTTTGGCGCCCTGGCCGGGCTTTCTACCCCTTCGGTGGTAGGCTGCCCGGCATCGTATTCGAGCCAACAAGGAGGCCGATTTCCGGTTAGTGTGTTTACTCACTGTTGTTTCAACTTGACAACATACGCCACTTGGGCTCAAGCAACAGCCAGCATACATGCTTAGCTTACTGGACCAGCTTGCATTTTTCAACCGCTTTGCTTTGCTTTTTCCAGTTTCGCTTTGATTTGCTTGCTTTGCATGACCATGGCTATTGGTTGTGACAACACTGCCTAGCTACATTCAACTCAGCACATTGGTTTGCTTTGCTTGATTGTATGCGCAGACGATCAGCCCTGGCCAAAGGTCAGGCGGTGTTGCGGAATCCAACCATATTTGCAGCGCCTCTACCTGCGCGCGATATTTTTGCTTCGCGGGCCGCAGCCTTGGTAGGCTTTGTGGCTGGCTTCTTGCTTTGCATACTTCTGCTGGAATGGCTTTTCTAGCAGAGTCCGATGAGGAGGCCCAGGCAGGCGGTACGGCCCTTACACCTAGAGTTGCTGTGGTGAAACGCTTTCGGAGGGACCGTGACTTAGCTTCCCCGGATACGCTTTCCTCCTCGGACTCCCCGTTTTGTGCTTGTGGAGTCCCCTCAGCGGGACACGTGCAACCAGGCTGTTGAGGCACAGTCGAGGCCACCTGCAGGCAGAATCCTGCAAGCTGCAGCCAAGCCCCGGCCCCGCATGGGCCCGCTTCCCCCACCGACCTTTCCTTTGCGAGCTACCGGCATTTGGGGCCTCCCTGCACCATGTTTTTGCCCCCCTTCCCCTTTACAGTGGGTCCCTCGGGCACCACGACGGCGGGGGGATCAACCCCAGCACGGGAAACTCATCCCACTTCGCACATCAAGGATTCTGGAGCCATGCCTC